CCAAAATTGAAAACTACTGATTTGATGACTAATTGATGAGTGGGTGGCCAACTCTTGAATTGGTAAAAATCATTATCTTTTTGTATGAACAAAACTTCATTGCTAACATCAGAATTAGAACCAACTACACCGTTAAAGTTCTAGAAAATTATCTTATCTTTACAAAGAAAAAACATTGAGGTCATTTGGACTTCTAGAACTCGAGATATGAGCTGAACACTGAATAGTATCTAGGCTGCAGGACAGATTCAAACTTCTTTGTTATTGCTATAATTTGGACTTGAAAGTGTCCTTTTTAAAACCATATAAAGTAGACCTATGTCTTACATTTCCATCCATATAAAGTAGATCTAAATTCGAGATCTACAACTCTAGATATAACCCAATTACCTAATAGTGTTCTAGTTTGGACTGCACCAGCATCTCTTTTCTAATTTTGGTCATCTCTTTGTCCTTTTAATTTCAGCACCTAAACTCATCAATAAATCCTTTAATTTATGCGATAGACCTGCATTTAAGATGAATATTTATCACAAATTAAAGGTATCTTGTATTATTAAATATGAAATATGCTTTAGTTAAGGAGTTATTGATACTTCAAGTGCAAAATGATGATATAAAACCTTGATGAAAATACACTTTTAAGTATCAATCACACCCCCCAACTAGCTTATTACTAGTCCCTAGTAATCAAAGCGTTAAAATAGAAAAATAGCTTATTTTCATTTTAGGCTTATTGATTGTCAAATTCAAGTTCTCTGTATGTGACATGTTTGTCAGACTCATACTATTTTGAGCTTAGCTAACTGCTAAACTCAAGTTCTCTTGATTTGACGTGTCTTCAAACCCATTTTGTTTTTAAGATGATTTTTATTTATAAAAATCTATAAAAAGGGTCGACTTATGAGATATGTCCTTTCTCCTCAACCCATGTAACAAATATTGAGTCAATAGCTCCCAAGTTAGTTGACTTTAGGGCATTAGGTCTTAAAACACCCCTTCGGGCTTAATTGCTTAAGTTAGGGAGGCTAAGAAACCAAACTTATCTACATTTTTTTTTTCATCATTTTTTTT